TCTCCTGCTTAGTTAAACGCCCGTTAATCCAAATTTAATTTATTATGAATTAATAATGAATTAATGCCAATTAATTTCAGTTACTAACTGAAAAGAAAAATACTTCAAATCAATGCTAAATTTTTTGTTGAATATAAGCTATAAAATAGTACTGAGTATATTATACACCCTGTACATACATTGCCCTTCTGGGTATAAAATTACAAACCATTTCGTTGTTGATTGATAAAAATATTCACATCGGATGTAAATGAAAGGGGAGTAATAACAATCTGGAGATAGCTGAGAAAGGACATAAACACCATATTATACTTAATATTCTGGGAAATCAAGGCCTGTTGTTCCAGATACTGGCCACTGTCGGCGCACTGAAGCAAATTAACGGTCGTGTTAGTGGCCAGACAGCTGTCTGGCACAACCATATCCTCATTGAGTGATCGGGAAAATGGCAGTGCTATCGATATACTAAGCAAAAACTGAATGACAAGCGCTTTCCATTGAGACAGGTATGAAATCCTCATTGTCCGCATCAATAGGTACCAAAAGTCAGTGACAATGAACCACTTAGCGCGGGTCTGGAGGCCGGCGCCCGATCGCATGAGCTTCATATCGGCGCTCATCTGATGGCACTGTTTCACCAACTGATCCCTGAGTTCGGCTGCTTTTCGCCGCATTCGATCCATTGGCGGATTACCGGTCACTCCCTGTGCCGCGTGTTTTAGCGTCTTCTCGATGGGGGCCTCACCTGAACTGCAGTGGAGATCGCATTCGGCCATTTGGGTCCGTAAGCCATCGGGAGGCCCGGCGTAGACCACGTGTCCGCCTTTGGCCAACACATTGATGGTGTCAAACATGAAAAATAGCTCGTTGTTTGGCTGATGTATAGACGCTATGATCGTTATTCGGTGCCGGCGTGTGAGAGCCAGCAGACACCTGAACACCACTTCGGCCGCATCGCTGTCCAGACCACTGGTGGGCTCATCGATGCACAACATGTTGGGCTTTACCCGCGATGTCAACTCCGTGGCAATGGCCAGCCGTTTCCGCTCACCTCCGGAGCACAGCTCGACCGGCGTATCCCTTATATTATTGATCATCAGCTCCCGGAGCAACTCATCTACACCGGCCCGTAGAGACACATCTGTCTCTATACAGCTCAAGCGACTGTTTTTCAGTTTACACGCGTAGACCAGTGTCTGTCGACCGGTCAGGCCCTCCAGGAGGTGCTCAGCCGTGTTTTGGGTGACAAAACACGCCACCACTGGCTCTCGACGATTGACGTAAATCAGGGTCTCGGCGGTCATTGGGCGACTCTGGCGACCGTATAGACAGCGCATCAAAGTAGTCTTTCCCGACCCACTCGGCCCCAGCAGACCGTTCAACGTGCCGTACTCTATAACACCGGCGATGTTGTCCAGTATCAGCCCTCCGGAGCGGTCGCCGCGTCGGCACAGTTTCGGTCGCATCTCAAACGACAGATCCGCCCAAACTATCATTAAATTTACTTCGTTTATACGAACACGAGTCGCACCGGTAGTCATGTCCGGTGCCTTATTGATTGTCACCGAAACAGGCTTAGTGTAGGCAAAGCAACGCAAATTCGGATCTGATTGGTTATTCTTGAACCACAAGCTCGCAAACGCGTTGAGCCACAACACATCTAGGTTTATGGACACTTTATTGGCCAATATGAGTAATGATGTCAGTTCGAAACATTTTAGCACCATGTACAAGCAAAATAGGTACAAACAGTAGCGCCAGTACATAGAATCTGGCCCTACTGAAAATTGGTTTAGCACGTGGGCAATGGAGCCCTCTGGGCAGCGGCCAAAACCGTACAAGATCAATAGTTTGGCATTAAACTCGTATTTGGTGTAGGCAAAGTCCGAGATCATTTGGAACATTTTAAACATGTCCTTGGTGGGCACGATAAAATTGTTAAAATAGTGCAAGGAAGAATAGATGGCAACAGCCACGCATAGGGCCAATCGGGCGTTTCGGTGGCAAATGATCCCGATTAGTGAGCCGAGCGTTTGCGAACACATGAACGCCATGAGTGATACGTACAGGTATTTGTAAAACTGTGAGATCTCTGATTTCTGGTCATTAATGACATACATGATTGTTGTGTAGATGTAGGCAAATATTATCGATAGTACTTGCTCGACCAGTGTTTTGGCCCAGTAGTACGACCCTGTGCTGTACCATTCTGTAGATGGTAAATTAAAATTAAAAATTAGTTATTTGTGTATTCATATAATTTTGTACGCATTATGTAAATTACTGTATATGATTTAATTAATTAAATTATTTAAGAATAAATATATTTCAAAACTTGAAATAACAATAATATCATGTACTAAAACAGTTGTATTAAATTATTAGCAGTAAACTTAAATAAAATTAAAACACAATATAATTACACATAAAAATATATAATCTAAATAATTACAAAAATATAACTATACTAACTATTCTGATGTTCAGATGTGAACACTTTAATCTCGTTCAAGAAAAACGAGGTAGAAATGGCCGTATGTATTGTAAAAATGGACACAGATGCGATATACTGATGATACAAATTCTGTTCCAATATTTCTAGGCTATATTCTAACTCCTGGCATGTCTGATTAAATTGTGTGCCGTTCACAGAGCAGCCATTAATTTTACCAATTTCTCTATTATAAGCAAAGGTCAGACACAGGAGAAACAGTGTGTAGAAAACCATTTGTGTCATTAATAGTCGCCACTGACACACGTAAGTGTAAAGTGAGTGCCGTAACAACAAATGGTAAAAATCTGGAAAATTGAAACGTTTGGTTGAAAAATTTTTGGTTAAACCGGGGGTCAAATGCATCGCCCCTTCGGTGCATTGTCGCCGTAACCCGTGCTTGAGTTGATAAGTTTTCGCAGCCAATCGTTGGACCCGTTCATCGGTGGCCACGGCTTTAGACGAATATTTTAGTAGGACTTCAATGGGAAACTGTATTTCAGGTTCGGTGTGATTCTCACCAGTATTCCTGGTGCTGGATATGGATGGGGTATTTGTGGTGGTTATACCACACTCGCGCAGGTGTAGGGCCAGACCGTTCGGTCGACCCCAGTATATGTTAACTCCCTGTTTGGCCAACACATAGACGTTATCGAAAAGCATAAACAACAAGTTGTTTGGCTGATGTATGGATGTTATGATAGCTATGTTATGCTTACGGCTCAGCGTTTTTAGGCATGAAATCACCTGAAAATAATAACATTAACATTAATTATTATTACTATTATATTTTTATTTTAATCATAATATTTTATTAATAAATAATATGTTTTTTACTATGAATCGGCAAATCCTCCCCTCCCCACCCTATCAAATGGGATCCAATGCTAATCCTATGGTTATACTTTAAGCTGTTCAACACGTTCATAGGCATAACATGGGTAATGCTAAGTCTATGACATAAGATTAACATGAGTAATGTGAAATCTATGGCAATCCAAATTCTATGGATAATGATAGGTCAACGGTTAATGCGGTTCAATGTATCTTGCACGTCCCGTTTTTGTTATAATTATTAAACTATGAATAAAAATTAAATTCTGTAAAATGTATAAAATAGTGTCATATACTCAGTTGTTGAATACCCTATATAGCGATGTAGATCACGTGGTCTTAATAAAATATACATTCAAAATGCGTATATGTAACTATTATATACTTTTTACAAAATTAAAATATCCCTTATAGATTAACAATTATAACGAAAACAAGACGTGCAAGATACATTGAACGCTTCTTTAGATAATACAAAACAAGCAAAGCGATAATATTACTCACAATATCTGCGGCATTACTGTCCAGACCAGTGGTGGGTTCGTCCAAAAACATAATGTTTGGCAACAAAACAGATGTCAATTCCATGGCTATCATAACCCTTTTCAGTTCACCGCCACTACACCTGTCAACCCGATTATCCTTGATTTCCAGGATCAACAGCGCTTCCATCAGTTCTCGTATACGACGGCTATGACTAAGTTTTTGGACATCCGGTGACTGATCACTCTCTGAGCCGTCACTGCTATCGCGGCCACTGTTTTTCAATTGGGACGCATAGGTCAGAGCTTGGCGTACGGTTAGCCCTTGTAGTAAACGACCATTCTGTTCCTGGTTAATGTAGCATGATCGTATTTTAAGCTCCGGCTGATAATATATCTGCGTACGGGCACCGAAACGGTATTTTGAGCTCCCCATCAGACATTTGAGCAAGGTTGTTTTGCCAGACCCACTAGAGCCCATTAGAGCGCTAATTGTCCCGAATTGAAATGCCCCGCACAGGTCATGAAGTAGTAGTTTCTCTGTGTTGCCAATCATTGATACCACGTTCACATCCATGTCTACAAAAGCCACCGCAAATTTATTTGACATTTTTGGTTTGTTTTGTCATGTTGAATGTGGAAACCCTTGATTTACCAGGGTGAATTATTGAATTGTTAATAGTTTTTAATTTAATTATATTTGTTATTTTGTTTATAAAACTATTGAATTAGTTTTTGGCAGATATTATGTCAGACGTTGTTGAGTTTTGTTGGTTTTAAATGATACGTAATAAAATATCATTTAGTTAAAATACACTTATATAGTTTTTATGATTCTAATCTTATAATATCCAAAAACACTATATCTAAAAATTTTGCAATTTTTTGCCAACCAATTAGAGTAACCCTTCCATCAGTTATTCCCATAACAGAGTATACTTGCATTTAATGATATGCTAATGATATGAATTTTATAAAGACGTTACTGTAATTAACAGAACTATTATCAAGTTATTTATAAACAAAACACATGATGTGAAAATATCGTCCTTGAATTATCTAACTTATTTTTAACTAAAGTGAAAAAATAAATGCTATAATGTTTAGGTCATTCTGAAAGTACGTAACCCCCCATAAATGTTATTATAACCTTATACTTTAAAAATTCATTAAACACAAAAAAAGTGTGGATTAGCGTAACGGACTTTTAGTCCATCCTACACATATAGCTTTTATTTTTTCTTTGACCACAATTCAGCTATGAATAATGTGGTTTATAGGATTGTACTAATCTAATCTTTGAGCAATACCCCAATTGTGGTTAACGTATAGCATCTCTCTGTGATATTTATTAGATCATAGATTTAGGGACAATTTTCGCAATAGACGAAATGTTAAAAAATTATCGAATTTCTCAAAGATGCCATGCGTGAATATAATTAAACTTTGGTATAATATACTTTGACATCTCTTCTACCGAATAGCATACTCCCTTACAACATGTATATTGGTGAATTATTTTCATATAGTATCCAAAAATAATTTTAAAAAAACAGTTTATTATTAATCTTCTTTTTATTAACTGAATGAAATATTTGTAATTTTGTATTATTAATTCGATTTAAAAGTAATATATACTGTACATACAATTGTAGTGTACAAATAATTGATAATAAAATTATAATTATCTAAAAATTAATAATGAACTAATAATTATAATAATTGCAAACATATCTAAATCGCACGGATTATCTCCACTTATATCTGACATAACAGTCGGGCAAATATCTGCGGCACTTGACGTTCGGTCCTCTCCTGTATTGATTGTTTCACTAATTGAGTGATTATTGTTAACCATTTGATAGACTCTAACGTAATCTACAATAATCGCAGAGCACTTCCAGTCGTTGCTGTCATTAATGCCGAGCACTTGATTGGGAAAGAAGAGTCCGCCGACGCCTAAGTTTATCAATATTTTGAACGGCTTTCCCACAAACGGCTCACCCTTTCGGACGTAATGTGGAGATAATGTTTTGTTTAACCGAAACGTGAAATACGGTTTGCCATCAAAAAACCAACTCATTTGTCGTTCACTCCACTCGACAGCGTATGTATGAAATTGATTGACACGTGTTTCGGGGGTTAAGCCATAACTTTGGCCGTAATATACGGGCGGCGATGCGCTGAAATGCACGCCGGATGCAAATGTTTGAGTTTGTATGTTAGACATTATATCGATCTGACCGGTGGTCGCCCACTGTTTGGGTGATACCGACTCCATAGCCATCACTGGTCTCAACATTTTGCCCACCGGTAGAGCGGCCCTAATCTCAAAGCGCCCGTAAGTCCAGCCCATTTTGGTCTTGATTTTACCCGATGTGTACTCTTTATCAAAAACTTTTTGCTTTTCCCGAACGGCTGTTATGGCCAGACAGCCGTCTATTAACCGTAAATTTTTACTTTTGTTTACATTGCAGTTCAGTTGACCGATGAAATTGCCTGCCATTACAGACACACAAAATAAATACTATTATTAAAGTGAAAAATTATTAAAAATGAAAACTTCTAAAGCCATAAAGTATTATAAAGTACTGTAAGTAATGATTACAATCACAAACCATAGCAATTGCCTGATTGCCATTCATCCTCCACTTCCCATACGTTTGCATCCAATTCTTTGCCATTAAATTCTTCGCTCCAAACGAGTTGTAAATTGTGTTCACATTTTACGCAATATATGAATAAAGTAATTGATATGATTTGAAATTTCATATTTATCTCCACTCCTTTATGGCTAATGAAAGAATATTTTACTTGATATGCCGTTAAATATAGTACTGTATATCGAGAACTAATCTCAATATTTATTTAAAATTTTTATAAATAATATTTCTCTAAAATTAATTTGTTTGAAAATATTGTTGTTTTCGCTGAAATAGGATAACGTTATTTAAATCAATTCATAAGAAATTGATAAAAATGTAAAGTGAATTCATGCTTTTGATTATCATTAAAAATATTAAGCATAGAAATATTATTCCAAGTATTTCAATCTCATTATTATTAAAAATTAAAAAAATAGAGTTAAATTTTATTTATCGCATTTATTGATTAGAAAATTATTTGATTATTGAATAAAAAGTCAAAACTTATTTACTAATTAATAGTGTCTATAATTTTGTAATTATAATGATATTCATTAACAAACCTTGAAAAGAATTAATAGACTATTTTTATGTTTCAATATAATTATCGCTATCATAATTAAAATTGTAAATTTGTTTATATGTTTTAAATTAAAAGTTTTAAATAATAAAATTCATCAAAACATATAAAACAAAAAAATCATTATAAAATGTTTATTTATTTCATGTTGAATGGTGACCATGGTCAGACTTTGCTTTAACAAAGTTTAAGATATTAATGTTTGTAGATAACATGTGTTTTGTTTCCTATTAAAAATGCTATTTTTACCTAAATCTTTAAAAATCCATCAAATTATTTAAAATTGTTACCTATTAAAAGGTATTACTTGTAGAGGGATTTCATACCAAGAAATTGCACTGCATAAATCAAATTTTTCTTATTATATATTTCTTATTGAATTAAAAATATATCTAAAAAATTTGACAATTTATTAACTATTAAGCAATTAAAAACTAAATCAAAACTATATCAAATTCTATAGTAATTTTAATAAAATAAATAAGCGTACATGGTTAGTTTAGTATTTTTAGCATGATATAACTTATATCATATAAGACAATGTATATTGAATAAAAATTAATTTAAGCCAAAATATATTTAAGTTGCGCTAGTCATAATGCAAACATTCATCTAAAATTGAGCAAACTGAAAACAGAATTTATTATATTATATAATTAGATATTTAGCATTTGACAGAATTCAACGAACTGTAGAAAAGTGCATGATCATAACGCACAGGTATTTTAATTAATGTATAATATCGATTACAACTTTATATTTTGTAGATTTAAGGTATTTAAATGATAACACATTTAATAACAATAAACAGCATACTCTTAAAGAGCTTTAAAAGCAATTAATGATTAAAATTGATTTTTATAAATCAAACTGACTGTAAGTTTAAGTGTAAGCATTGGTATACTTACAGTTATTATTTATATATTTTACAATAATATTTATTTTATTAATTTAATATAAATTAAATTTTTTTTATAGAAATGTCTGAAATATACAGAAGAGATAGTTTTGATCGTTTCGGTGATGACTTGTGTCAACTGGTGTTGAGTTATCTCACGTTTGAACAGAGGTTTCGATACGAAAGTGTTTGCAAACAATGGCAGAGAGTTGTGTTCAACAC